GGGGGGATTCTGCATGAGCCAAATAGCAGAGACAGGACCAATCGTCAAAATTGTCGGTCTTACCGCACCGCAACGGTAAGACCGGAGTCGGTGTGAGCCTGGGGTAAATCATGAACTACTTGAGCGACAGCAGGTTTTCTATTCATCCTGCATCTGATGGAGCAGCCTTACTGTGAGCTGTGGGGGAAGTGCAGGAGGTGCGTCATGGTAACAAAGGGATGGTTCAGCGTCTTCATGGGCGTGATCCTCTTGTCGGCGTCAAGAGTTAGCATCTTTTTTAGCAGGTCGATGAACTCTCGTCTGTCGGCCTTCTCTGCCAGGATGTCTGTGCCCTCTAGGCTGGTCATGTTGACCTGCAGGGGATCAGTGAATGTTAACCAATCCCAGGTTAGGTCTGGTAACCTAAAGCTAACACCATGTACTTCCAATCATACCTGCATCATATCATCCAAGCAGTTGAAGATGTACTTTCTTGCCTCCTTTGACTTGATGCCCATCTCAGCCTCATGTTCTGCAGGAGTCTGCATGAAATAAAGAAAAAAAACCTTTTCATAAAATATACTGTAGATAAATTTGATGCTGTTCAGGTAAGTAATCTGTACAGGGACCTACTTTCAGCCTCCAGAGAGGATAGCTGGAGTCGGGGCCTCGGTTGAAAAAGCGGCTGGTCTTGGTTCCTGCGCTCAGCAGGTACTCTGCTGGGAGACCCTGTGTCTGAGAAATATATCGAATCTGAAAGAAGAGCATTAGACGCACGCTTTATTATTCTAAATTCTCTAGAAGAGTAACATTATATTAATAGTATTATCTTGTATAAACATACCGTGACTCTAAAATAAAAGTTATTCATTTGTGACATTGACTTCTGATTTATCTTAAGTTTTTAACCTTTCAAGTTTTTTTTTTTAGATTTTTAACATTACAATTTATATTTTTCCAAGCACACAACAGTTTAAATCAAAGTTTAGTTTGAAAAGAATGTGCAGGAAGGATTAAAAAGCATGTTAATGTTTCATTGATATTTATATAAAAATAAATATTAGGAACTATATTTATCAAACATTATACTGGGCAAGTAAAAATTGTTTCTGGGCAAATGAAATGTGAAAGTGGGCAAGCGGTAAAAATCCCTAACGTCAACCCCTGTAATATAAAACAATATTTTCTATAATAAGAGTAATTGAACCATCAGAAAAAGTGTGTACGCTTTTCTTCATGTCCAGTAAGTGCAGCATTAATAGATAAACAGACAAACATGTTTTTGTTATTTCTATCTGACACAGAAGTTCTTTGATAATAAGAGAATCCTCCATGTAAACTGCATGTGCAGGTGGTGCGGACGACCTGGTCGTACTCCGATGCTCCCGGATAAAGGGGCCATCCCAGGAACAGCTCGGCAATGACACACCCCAAAGACCACATGTCGATCGCTTCGCAGAAAGGGAGACCTAGAATGATCTCTGGAGCTCTGCATGTTCACAGTCACAAACAATATAAATAAAAATTAAACACACAGTGAAGTAACTCAGAACTCAAACAACTTTGAACCAGATCAAACTCCGACCTGTAATATCTGGACTGCAGGTAGGTGGAGCAAACCGCTTTGGACACGTGGCTGGCGGAGCCAAAGTCGATGACCTTCACCCTGTACGGCTGCCTCAGAGGGTCCACCAGCATGATGTTCTCAGGCTTCAGGTCGGCGTGGATCAGGCCCAGGCTCTTCAGCTTCATCAGCGCCGTGGCCACCTGCTGCAGGATGGGCCGGATGCACTTGAGCATCAGAGGGCTGAACTTGCTGTGCTTCAGGAAGTCGTAGAGGTTCTGCTCCAGCATCTCGAACACCAGGCACGTGTGGTTCTTGTGTTGGAAACACTCATATGAGCGCACAAAGTTAAACTCATCGGCGTTCTCAGTGCTCAGCCTGCTGAGGATGCTCACCTGTGGGTGGAGACAGTGGGGATAAAGGAAGTTGGTTAGAGTTCAGCTCACAACTGACTGCCATTAGAAACAGAGTCCTAGGCTGTTTCTGGATTTTCTTAAATACAGACTCTTCTTTCCTTCCTCGTGCTCCTTCCTTTATCTCCTCTTTGATGATTCTTCTCATTATTAGTTTCCTGGGGCTCTTTCTTTCTTTCTTAATTATTTTCATTTCTGCCATTCTTTCTTTCCTCCCCCCCAACTTTCTAATCTCCTTTTATGTTAATAACTTGAAGGTGAATAGTCACTTTACTTATTCCGCAGTAGCTTACTGTGGTACAAAGGCTTTCTGAAAGATTACTATGTCTTAATGGTGAATTATTTGTTAGTTTTTAGTTTTATCCTTTGTTTTTGCACATTTATTAGTAAATAAAGCCCTTCATTTGTATTTACAACAGCAACAAAGGTACGGTACTCTGCATGTGCGAAGAAGGTAAATAAGGAAGTAGCCTACTGTGGTTAAGCCAGTTAGCTTCCCTCCCAGCACGATGTGGAATAAAGGAAGGAAAGTTCAAGATCCAGTGTGGAAAAAATGCAAAAAATGTTTGATTCAAAGAGGGTTAAGACTCAAACACAGCTGGGAATATAGTATGAAAAAGGATGCATGAGTAAACGTCCTCATTGATGCTAATAGTAGTGATAGCAACCCTATTGTTAGTCTCTACAGTTTAAGTACAAACAATATTATTGATCAATTGATTGATCAGTTCTTCCCTTGAAGCCGAGTTCGTTTGTCTTTGTTGGAAATGCTCATTGTCTCTTTTCTATCTCCTCTTTCTTTTCTCTTTTTGTTCTTCTGTTTTTCTTCTGTTTACATTGCAGTGTCCATATAGGCTGTAAAACTCCCTGCATAATTATAATAAAGCAATTTATATGCATGAAACAAGTGGAGCAATATGTCAATTGCCATACTGCTACACTTGTGAAAGTAAAATCTGTAGGGCTCTTTTTGGCATCAAGACAATTATTCTTATTGCCACATTGCCAGACATGGAACTGTAAAAAAAAAAAGAAAAAGAAAAGAAATGCTCATTTTCTTTCTCCTTAGGACCTTTACTATAACTCAGAGTTGTTGGAAAATTAGTTTGAATTGCTAATAGCAGTTGGTCTTTGACTACGGCGAGCTGCCGTTTAACCCTTGAGACACTGCAGGATGGTCAGGCTCTATTAAGTAGTTGCATCTGTGTTGTATGCCTAGTTTCTTAATAGTTGTTAACATATTCAATGGAAGGAACTGTGCTATAATGAATGTTCATGTACTGTTCACACCTCTAAAGTAGTTTTTCAAAAAGTTACATAAAGGCTAAATGATTTTAATTTTAAACCAATCTGATGGTTCAATAATCTAAATAATGGATTGAAAACAATATATATTTCTGTTTCTGAGCNAAAAAAAAAAAGAAAAAGAAAAGAAATGCTCATTTTCTTTCTCCTTAGGACCTTTACTATAACTCAGAGTTGTTGGAAAATTAGTTTGAATTGCTAATAGCAGTTGGTCTTTGACTACGGCGAGCTGCCGTTTAACCCTTGAGACACTGCAGGATGGTCAGGCTCTATTAAGTAGTTGCATCTGTGTTGTATGCCTAGTTTCTTAATAGTTGTTAACATATTCAATGGAAGGAACTGTGCTATAATGAATGTTCATGTACTGTTCACACCTCTAAAGACGTTGTTTTTCAAAAAGTTACATAAAGGCTAAATGATTTTAATTTTAAACCAATCTGATGGTTCAATAATCTAAATAATGGATTGAAAACAATATATATTTCTGTTTCTGAGCGCATCTAATGTTTTTTTTTTTATTAAAAAAGGTTGTTTATTTTGTTGAAATATGGCTTTGGACTGAAATTTGATGAATTAATTACAGTCATGTAACCATCAGGACGGACGCTTGGTATATATAGCATTATTTTCTCAGGATCAGAGGGGCTTTGGTGTATGTATACACCAGTGTAAATAAAAATACATTTAATTAAGAACAGCTCTCTGGACAATTTCTTTTTTTAAGTGCAGCCTTTAAAACAGTAAAAAAAACCATAAAAATTAATATAAACATATAACTGTATATTTACAGTTCTAATATTTCCAGAGTTTTTTTTATTTGTATTGTAATGGCAATAACATGACTATGGCCCTTTAACTTATTCCTTGGTTCTTTCTTCTCTTCCCCTCTGTGTCCCTTTATCTTCTCTTTTGCTTCAACCTTCCTTGATTCTCAAACTGTCTCTGCTTTCAGACTTCTTGCTCAGATATTCATTAAAAAGCACAAAAATCTGCTCATTTAAATATGATAATTACTAAACCTGAAACTAAAGCTAAGAAACCAGTAAGGCTGCATAACATCAGAATCTGATGCTTCAACTTGTAGTTTTGTAGTTTTATTTAAACATGCGAACCCATTGAGTCTGTAATGCCTATCAACCGTGATACCCTTTGAGCAGAACAAACTCACCTCGATTTGGCCTTGCCGAGCATAAGATGGATGGTTCTTCAGTATTTTAATGGCAACGATCTCATTGGTTCCCCGTTTCCAACATTTTGCTACCTGTCCAAAAGTGCCGCGCCCCAGGAACTCAAGCACCTCATAACTGTTGGAGATGGAGCACAGGATCTCATGCTGGACCAGCTGGTAGTCTCCCTCGCTGTGAGAGTTGCTACTTTTGGTGGTGGAGGTGGAGTGAGCGATGGACTGAGCTGTAGTGGTTCCCCCTCCTCCGCCGGCTCGGTTCGACACCACAGGCGCAGAGAGCTCCTCCAGTATCTGGACGCTGTCGCTGCTGTCCACCTCCTCGCTCTTCCTCTTCAAGCTGTATTGCTTTTGGTAAATCTCGCAGTGCTGCGAGGAGGAACCCGCATCCTTGACGTGTCGGCTGGAGGAGGTGGAGGAGGAAGAAGAGGAGGAGGAAGCGTGTCCTGTGCTGTCCGCGGCCCGTACCACCGTCTGCTCCCTGGAGCCGGCTGTAGGAGGGGGAACCTGGTTGGAGTTGTACACCAGGTCAAAGTTAGAGCCGGAGGTGGAGGGGGCGGCTCCCTGGGAGGGGCTCTGCTGATAGTAGCCGCTATCCGCCAACTGGTTGGAGACGTCCCACGAAGGGTTCTCAACTTTGAGCCTCTTTGGCCGAGAGTAGCCACTGGAGGAAACGGAGGGGGAGGAGAAGACCTGGAGCTGCGACGACATGTCTGTGGAAGAGAACGGATGCTTTATATTTTAAATAAAAAAAGACAGCGGTCATTCTCTGTGCTCCTCTGCCTTTCTACTACAGCAGCCCATGTGGGACAAACCAAAAACCATCACTGTTAAATGTGGGTTAAAATACACATTCCAAAAAAGTTTTAAAAACAATCCACTGGATTCTGTTTCAAAGATTGAAGATGTTTCGCTTCCCATCCAGGAAACCTTTTCAAATAAAAATGTCAGAAATAGCATTGAGGTTGAGGCTTTATACAGCAGCCCAACAAAGCCGTGGGCGTTTCTCAATATGCGTTCTTGAGCGTTCTCGTGTGCTCGTGACACGTCATCAGCCTCAGCCCGAGTACCGTTCCAATTCTCGAGAACGCCAGATCGAGAACGCATCAAATCCCCGGATGTTGTTCTCACCCCGCCCTCTTTATCGAGCATGCATCAGA